CATTTTCTGATGAAGGGTCTAGACCCGAAACGTCAGCCTTTCTGCTCCTATGATGCTGCTTGGCCTGCTGTGTTCATCCAGCTCTGCACCTTGTCTCGGATTCTCCAGCATCTGCAGTTCCTACCATCTCTGAAGCAAACTAACTACTTCTGTTTATACTGACTTTAAAATAAAACTCAAAAGAGAGGAATACAGGTACAACATAAATACTTTGCACCTGTCTTCACCAAAGGCTATTTTCAGTGCGGAAGGAGATAATAAGAGAAATTGAGTACAATAAAAACCGATGAAAAGGATTAGTGTTCTGTACAATCCTGGGCAGTACACTTTGGGAAGCACATCAGGACCCTGAAGTGGGTATAGAGACGGTTTACCAAGATTGAGGAAATTCAATTATGTGTAGAAATTGGAAAAGCAAAGAACTGTTTTCTTTTTGGAGTACCAAAATAACATAAAATACAAAATTGAGGGGCTTTGATACATCAAGGTGAGGGGGGGTGGGGGTGTTATTTCATCTGGCATGTGAATCAGTAAACAATGGAAGCAGACTTGAAATAATTATCAGAAGAATGAAAGGGAGAAATGAGGATAAATTTCTTTAGATGTTTTTTAACATTTGGAATGCACTACCTGCAGAAATGTGTTGAAATCAGATTCTATTTGAACTTTACACAGCAATTAGACATAAACTGAAGACAGTTTAACTGCATGATTATGAGGAAGTAAGCAGAAAAAGGCTTCTAAAGCAACAGTAAGGCCTCTAAAGCATTAGTAAAATGTAGACATAGCAAGCCATGCCAAAATGAGGGATGTTTCCATATAGTGGGCAAAAAGAAAGACATTAGATCTAGCCTGATGTTCTTCCTCACACTACACTTTTCTACATTATAAAGAGATCAAAAAAGGGAATCAATGGGGGATAAGAGCCTTATGTCTTTAAACAGCAGGGAGAACACCAACAGAATGTAACTGTCCTGGCAGAAAAGGTAGAATATAATCATTTTAAAGAATCATAGGTTCTGTTTCCATTCTGTATGACTAAGGTCAAACTAGTCCCATTTGTCTGCTTTTGGTCCATACTCCTCTAAACCCTTCCTATTCCTGTATTTATCCAAATGTCTTTCAAATGTTGTAACTGTACCAAATCCACCACTTCCTCTGGCAGTTCATTCCACACACAAACCACTCTGTGTAAAAATATGCCCACTAGTTTTGAACTCTCCCCACCCTAGGGAAAAGACCCTTGCTATTCAACTTATCTATGCCCCTCATGATTTTATAAACCTCTATAAAGTCACCTCGCAACCTCCTATGCTCCTGAAAAAAAGACTACTAGCCTATCGAGCCTATTTTTATAACTTAAACTGTACATTCCTAGTACCATCCCGGTAAATTTTTCTGAACCTTCTCTAATTTAATATTTTTCTTTCTAGCACCCTAAAAGACATTGAATCCAGATTTAAATCCTCATTTGGCATGAAAGGAGAACACGTTCTTGGTAAACACAACGCAGAGATAGTGGATGCATCGATTATGATGTTCCAAAATTCCCTGGAATCTTGAAAGGTACCAGTGCTTTGGAAACATGGTAATATGACAGCCTCATTCAAAGAAGGAGATAAGCAAAAAGTGGGCAACTGAGGACCAGTTAGTTTGATCTCTGTAGTGGGGAAGTTGCTGAAGTCTATCATAAAGAAGGAGAAAGCTGAACACTTGGAAAAACAAAGTTCAATTCAGTGTCAGCGTGGTTTCATTGAGGGAAGTTGTGCTTGACAAACTTGCTGCTTACATTCTCAAAGAACTCCAAGGTGATCTGGTGGGTGTGGTATATCTAGACTTCTAGAAAGCATTTGACAAGGTGCTGCACAAAAGAATGATCCAGAAGGTTAGACCCCAGTGGGTTAGGGGTAGAGTACTGGTCTGGATAGAGGATTGGCTGACTGACTGAAAGAAACCACAGGGTCGGGATAAATGAGTCCTTCTCTGGATGACGAACTGTAACTAGTGAGATGCCACATGATTCAGTTCTTGGACCTCAACTATTTACAATCTACATAAATGATCTGCAAACAGGGACAGAGTGTAAGATAGAAACATTTGCAAATGATACAAAGCAGGCTGTGAAGAAGAGTTTATAGATGGATATTGAGAGGCTAGAATGGGCAGAAGTTTAATTTTAAGTGCAAGGTTGTCCATTTTTGGCCAGAAAAATAAAGGGCAAATTATTATTTAAAAATGGGAAGTAAATTCAAAGTGCGTCAGTGCAGACAGATCTGGGTGGCTTTTTGCACGAATTGCAGAAAGTGGATATGCAGGTGCAGCTAATAAGAAAGGCAAATTGAATCTTGGCATTCATTGCAAAAGAACTGGATTATAAAAGTAAATGAGTGTTGTTACAATCAAGACATTGGTGAGGCCACACTTGAAAATATTGTGTCTAGTTGGTCTCCTTACTTAAGGAAGGATGTGGTGGCACTGGAGGCAGTTCAGAGGAGGTTCACCAGATTGATTTCAGGATGAAAGGACTGTCATATAAAGAGTGGTTGTATAGATTGGGCTTGTATTCACTGGAGTTCAGAAGCATGAGGTATATAAAATGCTAAAGAGGATTGATAAGGTGGACGTTGGACAGATGATTCCCACCGCCCCCACTGTTCAACAGTCTTGAGCAAGAGATCACAGATATTGAGAGAGAGGATGTAGGTTCAACATTTGAGATAAGGAAAATCTATTTCTCAAAGGGTTGCGAATCTGTGGAACTCATTTTCCTACAGTGCAGTGGAGGCAGAATCAATCAACAGATTCAAGAAAGAAATCTGATAAAGTGAGATAAAGGGCTATAGGGAGCAGGCAGGAGAGAGGAGCTGAGACCAGGATAACATCAGCCAGGATAATGTTAAACAGCAGAGGAGGCTCAAAGGGTTGAATTTCCTACTCCCACTCCTAATTCATATGCTTAAGCTCATTAGCATTTTACGAAGTATTTAAGAATATCAGTTTTATTGCACATCAAAAACCCTTTTTAGAGCACATTATTGTGGATGCTGGAAATAATCAGTTTTGGTGGCATCTGATGTGGATACCTTTCAACTTTTTTGGCCATTCCTATCAAATGCTCCTCTTTACTCAAATCACAACACTGTTCTGTGGCCTTGATTTTTCTTCTAAGAATTTTAAATGTTTCCTAATTTAAATTCCACACATCTCCCCAGCTTTTTAGTTTGAAGCTTCACCTAAAATCATAGTTATACAATTCACCAGGATACTGGTCCCCGTTTGTTCTAAGCAAACAACCTGTTTTCCTAGCACTGGCGTTAGTACCATGAATTAAAAAAACCCTTTGACACACTGTTCTTTGAATTACATGTTCAATGCTTTGATCTGTTTAGACTTTATACCAATTTATGCATTGCTCAGGTCCTGCACTCGGGTTCCTAAAATTCCTTCATCAGAACCCCAGTCCTCCAATGTCACTGATTCGTATGTGCACAAAGACAACTGGATCAGCCTTGTCCTATTTCAAATTCTTTCCCAGCTGTGAGGAAATGTCTTTAACCTTAGCACTAGGCTGGTACCTTGGAATCGCCAATCACGGCTCCAGAAACAAAATTTATTCCCCTGACTGTACCTCTTCCTACCAATACAACAGTATCTTTCATTTCAACCACTTGACTGGCCTTCTGTAGCACGATGCCATGTTCAATTTGCTTATCCACCTTTCAGATTTTATCCCTCATCCACATTGGCAGCAAAATATTCCTGCTAGTTCACAGTAAAGGTCTTTCAGCAGTGCACCATGAGTTCCCATATCTCCTTTCATAATCACTGATCAAATGTGCAACACTGCCCAACCAGTGAGAGTATCTACTTGATAAAAGGTGCCCAAGTAACTCATCTCTTCCCTGATGCACTATAAGATCTGCACCTCAGACTCCCAATTTACTGAACCTGAATTTCCTCAAGGTGCAAATACTTACTGCAGATGTGGTTATCCAGATGACAATGGTCTCCGCAAAGTTCCATATGCTATAGTTGTGGTGCACCATCTTCATGCAATTCCTATTAAAGTCCACTTTATTTACTTAATTTTCTATGGATGTAATCAAATTTACAATATCTCTTAAATAGTTTTTTATGTATCCAGCATATCATCAAGCTATTGGAATTTTGCCTTGAATGGGAAATTCCCACACTTTGTAATCACTTCCCAAGAAAGAATCAAGCAATGAAGGAAAAGTGGTTGACCTTCTTGAAGATTCTTTTAGGCACAAGCACATCCGAAAACTGGTAAATTTGTTATTACTGGTTTAGATCCACTAATCAAAAGATATCAGTTTTAATTGCAATCTAATAGATGAACTGGCAATGTCCTTAACTAAGAGAAACTCTACAACCCCAAGAATTTTATGATACACAGACACAAAGCTATTTGACTGGTTTGGCATTGGTTCATCCAAATCATCCTATGACACAGTAGTGCCTTAAAATGAAAGAAGCAAATTTTGCTAGCATGGACCAAATGAGATGCTAAATCAGCAACATAGTTTGATTTAGAAGTCTAAGGCAATGCATAATCAAGCTATTCTCAATAAATTCTGAGTCAACAAATTTAAATGAAGAGTAACTGAAGATTTTCCTAGTCACACAAGGGATAATGTAGTTTCGATGTTTATGGTACTGCACTTGTTAATAGTAATTCAGAGGTTGAGTTTGGCCATCATTGTAGCAAGTTGTTAAGAATTTAGAATTTGTAAACTGGCATCAAACAAAGTAACCACAGAAGTTGCTGCATGGCTCCAAAATACCCCACAGGCTCACTGATGCTACCCCTCATCTCAGTTTGGATATTTTATTCCAAATCCCTCGCCACATAACCAGTTCTTACTGTTCCCTGAAGTGGCAATAAATGTAACTTTACTTGCACTGCCACATTTAAAGAACAAATTGAAATATAAAAGCTGGCAACAGATGATCTGAAGATTGGTGAGAAGTAGGCCAATGAAAGAAGTGTATGCTGTAAGCAAAGGTGCATACCCCTAATTCAACACTACTAACAGATACACTTAGTAGTTTTTCCAGTGTGAAAAATATTCATCATATTCGTACATCATTAAGCTGCTTGGGCCTCCAACACGACGTTGTGAATCAGAACTACTGGTCAGTGGATAAATTTTTTGTGGTATACCTTATTACACAACATCATTTATGAAGTGAATGATCCTAGAAGTGTAATCTTCTGGCTTAAACCTGTAATTTGAACTATTTTCACAAACACATGGCTCAAACACACTTCAGCTGTATACAGGTTATTGAAGAATTCACAAGTAAAAAAGGCTTTCCCCAACAGCCTATGTTAGTTTATTTTGTTCACAATGGATACAACTGACAAAGGAAGCAGATCAGATTTTCACCCACAGTCATTTCAAAGTGGAACTTAAATGCAAAAATGAAGAAAGTTAAATGCACACATTCTAACAATTCTGCACACTAGATCACTGAAATAACCAGATTAATGAAATCAAAATTGCTTTCCACATCCAAAGTGAAGATAGGTCTAATGGACTCATCTCTGATTCATATCAAACTAAGTTGCTGTTATTTTTGTCTGTCCTGTGTAGATTGTTATGTGCTGGTAAGAACAGGATAACTTTTATAGGTTTGCTTAAAAAAACAGGTAAGTGTACTTACTGGTTCTGGTGTTTGGTTCCCTGGATGTGTGCCTGATACTGTTCTATTGAGTTCAGAACAATGTTACAGGTGTTACAGGGATAGCCTTTAGCAGCAGCAGCTGTGAAAGATTATAATTTAGTTACCTACCATAATAAACAACTGTTAAATAATGCAATTACCTGCCTAAAAGTTCAATTATCAAAAGTTGAAATTACAAGGAAGCTTATTTTGTCACTATTTGTTTAGCTGCCTGGTTTTGTTTCCTCATCCTCTCCTATTTTATCACTTAACAACAATGGTTTTACACACGCTTTATAGCTTGATTAAAATCACTTTACCGTTGTTCTAAAAATAGAATTTAGGGGCAAAAGATAGTCTAAATTTATGGTCAACAGTAATTAAACAAAATTCAGTCATCATCAATGAAGAAATATGGGCAGATTATCACATTTAGGGTGTTTAATGCAAACGGAGAGCCCCCCCACCCCCTGCAAAAATGCCTTTAGTATGGTTATGAGAAAAATCTTCATGCACACAGTGGTGCATATATGCTATGGGTTGCCAGAGAAAGTGGTTGAAGCAGGTACTATTGCAACATTTAAAAGACATTTGGACACGTACATGGATGGGAAGGGTTTAGAGAGATATGGACCAAATGTGGGTGGTTGAAACCAGCTGAGTGGGCACCATGGTCAGCATGGACCAGTTTCCATGCTGTATTACTTTATAACTCTATAATAGTGGGGAAAAAAGATCAATAGATAAACCGGCCAGGCAGGAGGAATTAAACTTACAAGTCATCTATTAGCCTGCTGTTAATTATGGATCTATGCAAAACCTTTCAAAGCCATTACAGGAGAACTCTGCACAACTCTAGGCTTCACACTAAAGGAAGGATGCTGATGCAAGGCAGAGTATATAGGACGCATTCCAAAAGGAAATATAAATATGAACCTAACCGTAAACACATAAATAGAATAGTTTGCCTCAGAGCAGAGGATATTAGGACAATAGTATGATACAGTTATAAAACAAATCCATTAGTGGTTGAGGAGGTCCAAAATAAGAAGCTAAATTAGTTACTGTATCTTTCTTTTCATAATATTTCAGAATGGATGAATATTGCATTTTTTTTTTACTCCTTCACAGAATGTGGTCATTGCTGCCATTTACTGTTCATGCTAAACTACCAAAGAGATACAACTGAGTGACCAACTGGGCCATCTCCAAGGACTGGTATGAGTCAGCCATACTGCTACAAATGTGAAGTCACATTTTGGCCAGATTGGATAAAAAGACAAATTTACATATTTCCTTCCCCAAAGGACATCACTGAACGGATTGGTTTTAACAAGAGTCATTTCATGGTCACCATTACAAGCATTTTAAAAAAAACCTCCCTACATTTTTAATTAATTGAACTTAGATTTCCCTCTGCTAAGGTGACATTTGAACTCGTATCCTCAACTCAGCCTTCTGAAATGCTATGCCAGCAACATAACCACTATATTACACCCCATGACCACGAAGGCTCAGATTTGCTATGTAGTAAACACGATTAGTGGTGCATATTACAGGCTATTCTTTTATTCTCAGAAAAGCTGGGAAAGCAGCAGGAAGTAGTTATATGAAAAAAATCCTCATTACCCAGGTAGGATAATGAGATTTCAGCCAAAGTAATCAGGTAGTGGAAATAGAAAAGTGAAATTCAGAAGTAGTAACAATTACAAGACTCTGGCGAAAACTATCTATAGACCTCCTCATAGTGATGATGTAGTTAGGTTTGGAACTGCATAAACAGAGTTCAGGGAATCAGATAGCAAAATGAATGTGGTTACAGCATGATCGGTAAATTTCACAGACTACAAAAACATCTCAAATAATAAAAGGAAATTAATTTGAATGAATTTGGGACAGCGCAAGAATGAAAGCAATCCACTCAGTCTCTCATGTTTGTTGCACCATTCAGTTGGGTGAAGGCTAATCTACAATTAAATTCCATTTGCTCACTTTGGTTCTACATTCTGTAAATACCCTTGCCCTGCTACACAGATACCACAAACCCAAACTTATCAATGATCTACTTCTGTTTTCTCATTGCTAAGTATTTATAGTTTGTACATAATGAACGCATCCACTCCCTGTGAGATTTATCTGCTGTGCAATCTATTGATACTCTTCCTTTGAACTTGCTTTCATCCATAAAATCCTCATTTACCTTTCAGGCTTTGGTTCGGATTTTCAAATTTCACACCTAAAACCTTGTATTCGATCTTGTCTTTTATGGATAGTGCATGACCTGCTGTGCATTTCCATAATTTTCTGTTTTTATTTCACATTCCAGCATTTGCAGTTTTCCCATTTGTTTTGCTTTCTAAGGCAAATTAATTTATTTTCTTGCTTTGTTAATGTAGCTCTTTCAAATATTTATCTGCTTCAGTAAAATATGAAGTTACATAACTCTGGAAGGTAGTCCTCAAATACATTTTGTGTAGCTTTAGTTGTACTGACTTGATGGGCCAAAAGGCCTCTTCTGTACTGTATGATTCTCATTATTTAAGAGTTAATACTGCCAGAGAAAACAAATTCTTTTTTTAAAAGACAAAAAACATTTTGCATTTCTCAAACTTTACAGGCAACGTGTAAAGCTTTAGCTACATAGTGAGCTAGGTGTTTTATGTTGACATGATACAAAATAGGCTGCTGATTCCTGCTTTTGGTATAGCCATTACTTATCCTGATGTATTTTTTGCCACATATACTGCAAGAATATGTGGTACATTATAGTTAAATCTAACAGCAGTATACAAAAGTCAGTGGAGAAGGCAACCATTCAAAACATGGAAGAGTAACCTATGCAAATACAGCCTTGCACAGGCCCCATGAGGTAAGAGACCTCCTTTTTAAAAAGAATGACAGTCAGCATAGGAAGTACTCTTATTGTGACAGCAGATTTCAGCAGCAAATTTTCACCGCAAGTGACCAGTGATTCAGCCTCAAGTATTGCTATTACCATGGAGCCAAAATATTGGCTGTAGGACTAAGTGAAATCTTTTTACAACCACTCATAATTCAAGCAAACTACAGTAGTTTGGGAATGGGAAGTTACAATTAAAAAGCCAAAGATGACAGTTTTGATACGAAAAAAATAAGTTCTCTAGCAGAGGAGAAAACAATGTAGTAAGAGTACCTCATAGATATGCTATAATATCAATAAAACTCAATACAAAGCTTGCCTGTATCTCAGCATACATCAAAACATATCGATACATTTATAACTGTACAACATTAAACCAAATTACATGATCCCTAAGGAAATTCAAAGATCCTTCAACAGCACCTACCAAACCTATGGCCACTTCCACCTAGAAAGACAAGGGCTGCACATGCATGGGAACAGCATCACCCACAAGTTCCCTTCCAAGCCATTCACCATCCTGACTTGGATATACATTGCCGTTCCTTCACTTTCACTGGGTCAAAATCCTTGATTTCCCTCCCTGGTGGCATTTTGGGTCAACCCACAACAGGTGGACTGCAGCCGTTCAAGAAAGCAGCTCACCAGCTTCTTAATGACAGCTAGGGACAGGCAATAAACACTGGCCAGCCAGCAACGCCCACATCCCACAAATAAATTAAAAGAAAAGGTTCAATTGGATCAAAACAGTGACTAGCCCAGCCTTAAAGACCGCTAATATTCCAGATCAGTCAATATAACTTCATGTCAGGTGTGGCTGTGCTAGCAGTCATCTGCACATAAGTTCATACCATATCCCACAGGAAATGCAAAGAGTATAGGGCTAAGCTATTACATCCTTCAATGGAAACAGCACATAAACATCCACAGTCTTGTGTTACACACGATCAATGAGAAAACATTCTACAGACTACCTGTGAACCAGATCCCAGAATGAACATCAGAACTGATGTTTACAACTGTGCAGTTGCATAGACAAATGGAAGAGTAGAAGTACAACATTTGCTTTTTTTTGGATATCGGAGATTTTAGCCATGTGCCAACAACAGTTGTTTGAAGTTTGCCTGTTTTCAACTAGAAAAATTCTGTTCAACGCTTAGGTGCAATAATTTGTTTCAAAATTAGCAGAAAACATTTTCAAAAGGCCAGACTCAGTGAACATGTGACATATAAAGCATGTCGAATGATGCTGGTTTTCAATCACCCAGCAAGTAGTGCAAGGTCATAAACAACCAGATAATGTATCAACGATACAAATTGTTCATTTGAATTGCACCTCATGAAAAAAATATTGAACTGGGAATACTGATTGCTTCTCGTTTTTTGGATGAAGACATAAATACTTCTACATAACTGTACAGTACAACAAAATCCATCAGCTTTGAAGTGAAACAAATGCTGACTTTCCCTTTATAAACAATATAAAGCAAGTGACATCAAACCTACATATTCAGAAGTTATTTAAGACTCCATTTCATTTTTCCATTAAATCAGAAAGTCCATTCTTCTAATAATGGCTTGGTGATACATTTATTTTTTTAATTTGTTAGCCACAGAAAAATACTACAAATACTAAATTCCATATGCTTCTCAAATCTAAGTAATTTTTTCTCATTTCACATGAAATTCTTCATATGAAAATAGTAATAATACTCTCCTAAGCTTAATGCTGCTTTTCAAATGTTAATATTGAAGGTGCACGTATTTTACAAAAAGTATGAAAGTTTCCAAAGAGTACCACAATTTACTCTGCTGATTTCTGAAAGTTGGTCTTGATTTTATATAAGAGATCAATCAGCTTCTTAAGAATAGAATACAATATTTAACCCAGAAATAAAAATAACACCGAAATGCTGATAATCCGAAATAAAAAGAACAAAATAGCAGAAATACACAGCAGACATGTCAGAATCTTGAAAAAACAATGATGGATTGATGGTATGGATGTAAGCTTTCTTAAGTGCTAATGTAAGACCTCTGATAGCAATGTAATCTTTAGCAGATACTGTGAGGCCTGCAGTGTATTTCCAACATTTAACCCCTTTTCTATCCACGCATGGTATGCAGTGCACTAGCTGTCTGCAGGTTTTATACTCACAGTTATTATCAGTTTGCCCCAGTTGTTCCAACAACTTTGCTTTTGTCTCACGCTTCTTGTGTCTTTTACCCACATAATGTTGTTTGGCAATAGCAGGATGGTTAAAAAAAGCTTGACACAGGCTACAGTACTTGTCAGGGTCACTGCTCCCAGGTTCAACATTGGACTGCACAGTAGAAGTTGGGGCATTTTCTTTCTTTGCCTTTGGGGCAGCTGCAACAAAAGAAAACATCCAAGATGTTCACACACAAATGATCTGGAGAAAGAAAAATGTATCTTTACGTAAACTTGATAAACATTAGAGTAAAGGTGGTTTCATTCAGGCAACCATAAATTGAACAGCTTAATATAACAATCATTAATGTTTTATTGCTCTACAAGCAACAAGGACAATAATCTCAACAATAGTTACTCCATCAGAACTATTTTGAGAAATTTTCGTCCTGACTATTTTAAAGTTTTGAGATACAGATTTACAGTGAACGAAATTGCCTGTTCCTGGCTTTTATTTTTACAATCAAAATACTGCCAATGATTTCAAATAGTGACAAGATATAAAATATCAATAAATGAAGTCTCACCTTATACAAAATTATATCCAAACTGAACAAATAATTACACCTAATTACATGATGGCTGGAAACGTCATTGCTAATTTGCAGAAATTGCGTTGTAGTATGAAAGCCCGTTCCAGAATAGAAATAAAATGTTGATCCTGTAATTAACTATATCGTAGGTAGCATTTACAATCTCAGCTACCTCTTTTAAATACTCAAACTTCACAGCCTGCGCCTAAACATAAAATTCACAAGCTCCTTCAGCCATGTGTTAAAGGAAACCTATTAAAAGGCATTATGGATTGTTCTGTTACCTTCAGGATAACTGCACTATGCCACTTTTCAAGTGCTACTCTTCCTCATTTACAGTCATAACTGGCCCCATTTTCCATTAGACACACCCAGAACTGGAGCTTATGAAACTGTTGCCCGTTCATACGACTCACAGTCTTCATCTTTTACCATCACACAAAGCACGTTAATGAGTGTAGCTAATGGAGAGAACAATTTATTTGCCGGTGACAATTTCTAGAGCTTACACATTGCATTATCTCAAGGATCTCATGGGCCCCAAGCACAAGGAAATGACTTAGTATGGCTCAGTTTATAAGAACACATGAACAGGAGTAAGCTGATCAGCTTATTGAGCCATATCCCTTTATGTCACTGGTATTTAGAAATCTGTCAATCTGTATTTGTACTCAACAACTGAGCTTCCACAACCCTCTGGCGTAGAGAATCAAGACTCATAACCCTCTTAATAAAACAATTACTCTTCATCTTGGTCTTAATTGTCTTCTGCTTATTTTTATTAGTATTCCTTGATTCTAGACTCCCAAACCATGGGAAACATCTTCCAAAAGTAATGGGACAAAAAATGGCACATTGTACTTCATGTTTTCAGCATTTTCACGTCAGAGGGAAAAACAACTAAATTCAGACCCAATTCCAAGACTGGATTCTGATACTCCAGTGCAATACTGAGAAAGTGCTGTGTTGTCAAGACATAATACCCTTCAGATGTAATAAAGCAATTTGTTCCTGTCATTCAACTGGATACGAGCTATTCACTGGCAATATTTGAAAAACAGAATGTTTCTCTTGGTACCCTGGCAAAAATTTCTTTCTCAACTACTGTGAACAAAAAAAGGTCATTTTTGGGAGTAGATATTGGGGTAGCTAACACACAAGAGTACAAAGGGCTTTCAGCAAGTCTAAAGGGAACAATTCAGCTGCAGTCCTAAAGGAATACAGGAAGTGCAGGAAGGAACTTAAGAAAGCACTTAGGAGAGCAAAATGGGGGCATGAAAAAGGACTTGTGAACAAGATTTGGGAGAATTCTAAGATATTTCATAAATACATTGAAGGGAAGAGGTTAACCAGGGAAAGATTAGGTCCCATTAGGGACCAAGAGGACAATCTGTGTGTGAAACCGCAGGATATTGGAAGGGTGTTGAATATCTTCACTGTGGAAAAGGAGGATTTAGGTAAGGAATTCGGAAAAAGGGACTGTGAGGAACTCGCACAGTTTGACATAGGAAATGGGAGGCGTTGGAGACTGTCGGACTTTAAAACAGAGAAATCCCCTGGCCCAGATGAACTGCATCCCAGGCTGTTATGGGAGGCATAGCAGGAAACTACAGGGGCTTTGACACAAATTCTTAATTTGTCTCTGGCCACAGGGAAAGTGCCAGAGGACCACAGAACGGCTGATGGGGTACCACCCTTCTTAAAAAGTGGAAGACATGAACCAGGAAATTACAGACCAGTGAGTCTCATATCAGCGGCAGGGAAACTATTGGAGAAAATTCTGAAGGAGCAAATTAATAACCACTTGGAAAGGCATGGTATAATTAGGGATAGTCAGC